GAATAAAAAATGAACAACTGAAAAGTAAAATATTAATTTTTTTCAATAAATTTATATTTATAAACATTCATAAACTTTTTTTATAATTTTTTTCAAGTTTATGTCAAAAAAGCAATGTTGGCAAAGAGCGTTGTGATCAATTTTTCTATACTCAGCCAGCACTTGCCGCCGTGGCTTGTCCAAGCTTTGGCGAAACAAGAATTCTGTACTGCGCCAGCACTAATTGTCGAGGCTCGGCTAGACTACGCCGAACAATCGTCTGAGTACTAAGCCAGTGGTGAACATCGGCACTACACTGGCATTTCCCATTGGGATATTAGGAAATAAAAACTTTAAATAATATAAAACAAAATTCAATTAAACTTTTTCAAAAAAATTAATTTCAAAATTCAATTATTTCTAAAAATTCACGCTATATTGCTTTTAATATTCAATTATAATCTAAAATTTTAACTGAAATTCATTTTTATGAAATAAAAATCACTTTTTATTAGAAAAATCTACAAGAATTTAATTATTTAAATGCAAAAGTAAATAATTTACTGAATAATTGAATGTTTCTCAAAATGCAATTCTCATAAAGAATTTTATTAACAAATTTTTAAATAATTGAATTCTTTTGTCGAATTTGATTAAAACTTGCATCAACATAATTACTTTTTTCAAGGAATTCAATTATAATTGTATGAAAAATAATTGAAACGCTGCGATGAGTTTTATTATTAGTAAAAATAATTAAATCCTTACACTCAGAGAAAAAATTTATTTCACTTAACCAAACTGTTTAATTAACCTATTTTATTTGTCACGATAAAACAATTTTGTTGATTTAAATAAAAATTTGGTTTATTTTAATAAATACGTAAAATTTGTTTGGTTATTGGAAAAAAATTTTTTATTTGAAGTTGTTTGTTTCATTTTAACAAAATTTGTGTTTTGAATAGAGAATATTGTTTAGTTAAATAAAATTTGTTCGACACAACACACAAATTTGTTTGATTCAACCAAATCATTTTATTTGAGTGAAACAAAAATATTTGCTTGTCTCAAAAAATACATGTGTGAATTTAAAAATGGCGATCTCACTTGTCTACAATCCGCGTTCGCGTCAAATTTATTACTTAAATCGGTAAATCAAAGAAAAAAAATTATAAGTGTCGGTTAAATAAATACATTGTGTTTATTTTAGACTTACTGTATATTTAATTTGTACCATAGTGAGAAGAATATTTACAAAAAGGTTTTGTGAAGTTTTCAGTTGGTTGTTTCGAATAAACTTTTTTCTGAGTGCACGTATAAAAATCATATAATATGTTTTACGTAATATTTCAAATGTTTTTTTATAATTAAGAAATTTTGTTTATACACTGTAAAAAATTTAGGGAGTTAACGGACTCGGGAGTTGGGAGTTAAATTTTTCGAGTTAAAAATCAACTCCAAAAGAGAGTTAATTTCTAACTCCCTTCATTCAACACCCGCGCGAGTTATTTTTTCCTTGGGGAGTTAGCATTTGGGTGTGAAATTTTAACTCTCTTTATTTAACTCCCCTGGCATTAACTCCCCAATGGGTGCGACTTTTATAGACCCCCCGGGGGAGTTAAAATTTAACTTCCTTTTTTTACAGTGTATGAAGAAATACATATATAATATTTTACTTAATTGTTATTTATTTTCCTCTAATAATGTTTAAGTTTCCTAATTTAATATTTTCTAGTATACATATTATTGGTTAATTTATAATTTATTATGTGTATAATTTTAAAATATCAATAATTATATAATAAATTATAAATTAACCAATAATACACTGTAAAAAAAGGGAGTTAAATTTTAACTCCCCAGGGGATTCTATAAAAGTCGCACCCATTGGAGAGTTAATGCCAGGGGAGTTAAATAAAGAGAGTTAAAATTTAACACCCAAATGCTAACTCCCCATGGAAAAAATAACTCGCGCGGGTGTTGAATGAAGGGAGTTAGAAATTAACTCTCTTTTGGAGTTGATTTTTAACTCGAAAAATTTAACTCCCAACTCCCGAGTCTGTTAACTCCCTAAATTTTTTACAGTGTATGTACTAGAAAATATTAAATTGAGAAATTCAAATATTATTAGAGAAAAATAAATAGCAAAATTAAGTAAACAAAAATATTTATTTAAATGAACCAAATACGTTTATTAAAACTATTTATTTGAATCAAACAAACGTTTGGTTGACTGTATAGCAAAACAATTATTTGGTTGATTCAACCAAAATTTGGTTGTTTCGAACAAATTTTTTTCTGAGTGTAAGAAGAATTTTATTACTCTTGAAAATAATTGAATTTCTGCAATAATTACTAACTTCTCTAAAATTAAATTTTTTCTAGTGTTTTCAACTAAAATTCTTCAATAAATCCATTAATTTTAATAATTTTTAAAAAAGTTCTTTAAGAATTTTCAAATTCATTCCTTTACAATTCAATTTTACATAATTTCAATTATTTGAAAATTCTGCAATAAAATATATATTGAAAAATAAAAACTTGAAATAATTTCAATAAAAATCCTATTAAACTTTTAAAAAGAATTAATTCTACAGAATTGTTTGTCAAAAATGTGAAAAATTAAGAATTTCAATGATTTTAATTTGAAACTTTTTCAAAATTTAATTATTTCTAAAAATCCACGTTATAATGCTTTCAATATTTAATTAAAATTAAAATTTTAACTGAAATTCATTTTTAAAACCATTTTTATTAGAAAATTCTACGAGAATTCAATTATTTGAATACAAAAATTAGTAATTTATTAATTTCATGTTTCTTGAAATTAAATTCTCATAAAAAATGTTATCAACAAATTTTTTAAGTCATTAAATTCTTTGGACGAATTTTAATAAAATTTTTAAGAATAATTACATTTTTCGAGGAATTCGATTAAAATTGCATTAAAAATAATTGAAATTCTGCAATGAGTTTTATTATTTATGAAAATACACTGCAAGCCCGATCAGCGGTCACCCGATCAGTGGTCACTTGTTTACGTCGTTTGTAGATAGGGCGGGCGAGGGGCCATGAGGGAGTCGAAAAGTTGTGGCAGTAGCGTATACATTAAAGACGCTCTGGCCCCTTAAAAAAAAATTCAGTAGTCAAGTAATGGTAACCCATCAAAAAACAGTTCGTACGGTCCTATATGTTTACGCCCGATCAGCGGTCAAGCACCCCCGGAGCTGACCGCTGATCGGGCTTGCAGTGTAATTGAATTTATAAAAGAATTTTATTATTTATAAAAATAATTGAATTTCTGTAAAAATGTTATTATTTATGAAAATAATTGAATTATTGCAAATTAATTGTATAAAAAAATTTGTAAATAATTGAATTCCTGTAAAAATTTTTATTATTTATGAAAATAATTGAATTCATAAAAGAATTTCATTATTTATAAAAATAATTGAATTCCTGTAAAAATGTTATTATTTATGAAAATAATTGAATTATTGCAGATTAATTGTATAAAAAAATTTGTAAATAATTGAATTCCTGTAAAAATTTTTATTATTTATGAAAATAATTGAATGTTTGCGTAGAATTTTATTCTACGCATTTTTATTTTATTTTATTTTATTAACTTTTTTTAACAATGGAATTCTTTTGGAAAATTTTGTTGAAATAGTAGTTATTGAAAATCATTGAATTTTAGAAAACTTTTGAAAATAATTGAAATTTTGACTAGAATTTGATTAAAATTTTGTAAAATAATTGAATATCAGAGAAGAATTTTATTATTTATAGAGAGAATTGAAATTTTGACGAGAATTTTTTTAAAGTTTTGAACACAATTAAATTTAGTAACTATGTTACTAAGTTAGTAACTAATTGTAAGTTAGTAACTAACTTACTAACTTACTATTCTCCCTGGAGAAGCTAAATTCGTTGAAATTTTACAAATCGTTGACTTTTGTGTTTTATTTAAAGTAAAATTTCATTCATTGTTAAAAATAACACCAAAATAGATTATTTTAATCCTTTCTGGTGTTAATTTAATCCTAGAGGGATTAAACTGTTGCAGATTATTTTAATCCATTCTGGTGTTATTTTAACACTTCACGTTTTACTTTGTTACAACAAACCTAATTGTTTCTTTATCAATTAAAAACAATCGTATCAGTAGTACAAACAATTTTTAGTCAGACGAAGTTAGTTTTCGTTTAAAATGGAATAAATTATAAATTATAAAAAATTCTAAATTCAAGATTCAAGATTCAAGATTCTAAATTCTAAATTCTAGGTTCTAAATTCTAAATTCAATGGTTTTTAGTCAGACAATGCTCGTTAGCGTTAACAATGCAAATTGAAAAAAATTATAAAAAATTCTAGTAGTACAAGTTATATTTTGAAAGGGATATGAAAATTCAGACCATAATTGACTTGTACTACTGAAACTAAAATTATACAAATGTGACATTGGCGGTCTGCCTGTAATTGACTGTTACTACTTATTTCTTATATCACGGGGATCATAATTTTTGTCTGACTCTTACAGGCAGTTACTACTAAAATAATAATACAAAAAATGCTTCTCTTTTTCTAGTAGTAATACTGGTATAAATTCTCGTTTCAGTATTTCAGTAGTAACTGTCTGTAATAGTCAGACTAAAATTCCAATCCTTGTAATAAGCACCAAGTAGTAAAAGTCAATAACAATAGTAAAAGTCAGACTACAACTGTTAATTCTTTACAACAAGTCTATTTGTTCTTAAATCAATTAAATCAGTAGTACAAGCGATTTTTAGTCAGACAAAACTAGTTTTTTTTGTTAAAAATGCATTAAATTCTAAGAAATTCTAGATTCTAAATTCTAGATTCCGAATTCTAGATTCTAAATTGTAGGTTCTAAATTCTATGTTCTAAATTCTATGTTCTAGTTTCTAACTTCTAATTATTATTCTTAATTGACTAATTTAATTAATTAATTAATTCCCAATTAAAATTTCTAAAATATTTCAATTTATTTCATTCAGGCGACACTTTCAAGACGAATTGGAATCACAAAAACTCGTACGTCTCGTATTCAATGGACAAGTTCTTCAGCCCGACAGTAAAACATTGGAGCGTTGTGGTCTCTTCAACAATTGTGTCGTTCACTGTCTCGTTCATCAGCCTCGACCAGCTTCAATAACATCATCATCAACATTGGACAATTCATCATCAATTTACTTCAATCCACAAACATTTCAGGACATTCCTGATGCAACGGGTCTCAGTTCATTGCAAGACGAATGGGATCTAAGTAGACTTTTATGCAGCATTTTAACACTCGTACTGGGTCTCGCTTGGTATTCGCATTTTCATTATTCCCAATTATTCACCGTAACAACCACACTCGCTCTATATGCACTAACTGCAGTTTTCACCGTTTCCATATTCGGTCACTTTTTCTCGAATCAAGAAAATGTCCGAGTCGTTGAATAAATTTTGTTCTAATTTTTCTTTTTTTTTTTTTTATTATAAAAGCAATAAATTGTGATTTTTGTCTACTTGTTTTTTTCTTGTCGAAAACAAGTGAAAGAGTGCAAAATATTTTTTCCGCTGGTAGTTTTTTTTTTCTTTTTTTTTTTAAGTGAAAAAAAAATGTTTGCACGAATATTTTTGCTGTTGATATAATATACTGCGAATTTGGTGTAATTAGCGATGATCCTAGTCTTACTTTTTATTGCTAGGAATATAAAATATATCGTTGTTTGTATACTAAAAGTCGATAATACAATAAATTTGTAAAATTCGCGTCTTATTGAAATAATGAAAATTTGTAATGTGCTTAAAAATTATGACTGCTTGTGAAAAAAGATTTTAAATTTTTTCATCTCATGTCATAATTTACATTTTTAGATAGTTTTTCCATTTTTCGCAAAATTATAACCAACTCTAGTATCGGTTATATTTTCAAGATTTCTCAAATATTTATACGAAGAAAAAAATTTCTAAAAATTGAATAATAATATTAAAAAAAAAACAGATTTTCAGTAAATTTAGGTAGGGTTAAATTTTGTTTATTTATTTCCATTACAAAGGATTTGATAATAGAAGAAAAGGAAAAGAGGAGAGTGTATATTAAAAAAAATAATTTGTACAGTGTATATAACTATTACTATTAAATTAATTATATATTCACAATTACTGTAGTGATTAACTAACAAATTATTTTTAATTTTTAGTCAAAAAAAAAAAATTGCGATGGAATTTTTTTCCCTATATGTATACATATCTCTCAATAATTGCGTAGAATAACAATCTTTCATTGTATATTATCATTTTATCGCAATTTTAATTTTATTCTTACTTCTCCATATTTTTTTATTATTAATTTTTACTTTTCTTTCATTCTTGTTTATTTTTTCTCCATTCCACTTATTATTTTATATCAATATTTTCGTTGTTTATACTTTTTAATCATCATTTTTCGTTGTTAAATCTTTTTTTCGTTATTTAAACAATTAAATACTTATGTCTTAAATGTGAAATTATAAAAGAAAGTTTAATCGTCGATGATAAAAAAAGTGGTTGATCAATAAACTACATTATGTCATTATAATTAATTATATGTTAAGTTACTAAACGGAAAAAATTACACCTAAAGCTCAGAGCCAAAAAAAAAGGAAAAATGGTTCTTTATCCAAAGACAGAAATATACATTATTGTCAGTGCCTAAATATTAATTTAAGATTTATTACAATATTTACAATCTGTTAGTGTATTGAATTGAAAACAATATTTTGAAAGTAACACGATTTAATGAAAATTAATTTTTAATATTAATAATATTTATCAAAGGCATGGAATTTTTTTCTATTGTTTATTGTGGAGATAAAAAGAAAAAGGTAATTTTTTTTTAAATATGGTTTTGTTCATCATTAGTTAGAAATATTTCTGCAATAATAGTTTTATTGTGTGGATAGCTTAACGAATTAAAAATACCAGACAAACAATCAAATCAAAAAGTAGTTTCTTCCTGACAAAAGTAATCTTAACAAAAAATATTTGTATATTTTTTTATTTATTTCTTTTTCTATTTTTTTGATTTTTATTTTTCTTTCTAACACTTTCTCTATTTGATTTATTAAAAAAAGTTATTTTTTTCAAGAAACGTTAATTTCTTTTCAACAACAAAGTTGACTTTTTAACTAAAAAATCTAATCTTCTGAATAACTAATAAATTTTTTGTAATTAATCAGTATTTGGAATTTTTTTGTGTTTTATATTTTCGAATCAAAAAAAAAAATTACTATTAAAAATCAAGTGTCAATGAGAAAATTTAAAAGCAAACGATTTTCAATCTCAAAAATTAAAAATTATAATTTTTCTTTTTAAAAAAGTAAAATAGATTTAAATTAAACTAAGTTTTTAATTTGACTGTCTGTCTAAATGTTACTCTATTTTTACACTCGCATCACATATATTGAGAAATGTTTTTATTTCTTTTGAATTTCAAAAGAACTACAATTGTTAAACATAATTTCAAAAATAACTTCAATAAAATTTTCCTAAACTAAGAAGTAATTTATCTATTATTATATATATATCTATAAATGTAAAAATAATTCTCTGTTTCGATTTAATTGTACAGAAACTAAAAGAAAAATACATCATGTGTAATATTCTAACATTGCTGTTGATCATTGTATATTGTAACAATATTATCGTTTTTTTTGTTAATTAACAGTGAAAATTAAATAAATAAGTTTTAACAAATTATATTGTGCTTTCTTTTTTTTAAAAAAAAAACTTTTGTCTCTGGAAAATTCTCTGTTTTAATTGACGGGGAGAAATTTTTCAGTAATGCAAATATTCAATACTCTCTAAATCTGAATATGTGAAAATTCACATATTTGTACGTTATAAGTCGTCTTCTCGATCAATAAGTGCATATACACTTATAATAAGTGAAATTTCACTCAGAATAAGTGAAAAATTCACTTATTTATAAGTGTATATGCACTTATTGATCGAGAGGACGACTTATAACGTACAATAAGTGAAATTTCACATATTCAGATTTAGAGAGTATAGTCAAATGTTTATAAGATTGTAAATATTATTTTTTATTTGTTATTCTATTACGTTTTATTACGTGAATTACATTTTAGAAGAAGTATTTTTTGAATGTTTAGAAATACCCTTTTGGTAATACTTTTTTATTGTAATTTATATTACGTAAAACTCGTTTTAATTTAGCTACTAATTCATAATAGATGTTTCATTACAACTACGTAATTTTATTATAATTAATTAATTTAATTACAAATACGTAATACTATTTTTATTAAGACACTATTACGTAATTTTCATTAGGACCGGAATTACTACTACGTAATAATTTTTCTATTAAAATTTTTACTACGTAATACTTTTTCCTTTAAAACACATCTACGTAATACAGCATTATGATCCAGTTACTACGTAATACTTTTTTGATGCCATTTCTGCAACGTAATCCTGTTTTTTTAATACAGTCAAACCTGGATAAGCGAGAGTTCAAGGGACCGACAACTTTCTCTCGCTTATAGAGGTTTCTCACTTACCCAGTTTTCACTTACAGAGGTCTAAAAGCAAATTTTTCTCACTTACAGAGGTTTATGAAAAAATGTTATTCAAATTAATATTTTATTGTACATAATTATATAATTTATTAGTTATTTTCTTTTAGTTCACATTATCATTATCATTTATTTAAAATGCTTAAAAAAGTCAGTCATTTTCGTTTGTTTTTTTATTCTAATATTGTCAACTTCTTTCTCTAGAGCATAAATTTTATTGAAAACAGACTTATCAACATTTTTAGAAAATTCCAAGAAACGATGAACAGTCTCTAAAGCTTTTAAAGTTTCTTGTTTATTTGGAAAAAGTTCTTCTCTTTTAGTCAAATTTTTGTTTTCTTCATTATCATCTTCATTATCATCATCATCATCATCGTCATCATCATCATTTTTGGCCGTGGTTAAATTGGCTATTATGTCGTTATCCGTGAGTTCTCCTGTAACTGTCACATTGTCATCTACTCTAACAAAATCTTCGAAAGTTGGATTTTCAATGTTATGTTCACAAGGCAAGAGTGTATTCCAATCCTCGATACTAGGGACTTCAACATCATCTTCTTCTGTCTGGTTTCCCACGTCAGTGCAAAATCCAGCTTTTTTAAAGCAATTCTTGATGGTGACGTCGCTTATTGAGTACCATGCTTTGCTAGCGAACTTTATAGCCAGAAGTACGTTTATTTCAGGCTTCATATTTTTTTCTAAACATGTCAAAACATGCTTCACCACTTCTTTGCGATAATGTCTCTTAAAAGCATGAATTACTCCTTGATCTAATGGTTGCAAGTGGCTGGTAGTATTGGCAGGTAAAAAAATAACATTCACATTTGCGAGAGTTGGTAAATCTGTATGTGCAGTGCAATTGTCCATAAAAATAACAATTTTTTTTTTTTTGGTCTTCATATTTTTATCAATTTTCTGTAGCCACCCTTTAAATATTCCTCTTGTCATCCAAGCTTTTGAGTTGCTTTCATAATCTACAGGTAGGGTTTTTACACCTGCAAGTAAAAATTATGTATTGAATTTTAAGATAATAAAAGACTTGACTGGACTTAAAAGTAAAAATTACTCTCATCATTTTTTGACAGGTAAAATAGTTAAAAATAAGGTTTAAGACGAGTTTCAATTTTATCGTTTTAAAAGACTCAGTTTAAGTCAGCAAAAGTGGCTGGTAGTATTGGCAGGTAAAAAAATAACATTCACATTTGCGAGAGTTGGTAAATCTGTATGTGCAGTGCAATTGTCCATAAAAATAACAATTTTTTTTTTTTTGGTCTTCATATTTTTATCAATTTTCTGTAGCCACCCTTTAAATATTCCTCTTGTCATCCAAGCTTTTGAGTTGCTTTCATAATCTACAGGTAGGGTTTTTACACCTGCAAGTAAAAATTATGTATTGAATTTTAAGATAATAAAAGACTTGACTGGACTTAAAAGTAAAAATTACTCTCATCATTTTTTGACAGGTAAAATAGTTAAAAATAAGGTTTAAGACGAGTTTCAATTTTATCGTTTTAAAAGACTCAGTTTAAGTCAGCAAAAGGCTAAAAACTTGCAAAATCTTGCGAACCGTAGTTTTATAACTAAAAGAAATTTCAAACAAAAAAATTTTTATAATTTTAATAAAAAATTAATTTTTTTGTTACTTTTCAATTAAAATAGGAAATATAATACACAAGAACATATAAAAAACAAACCTTTAAAACATCGAGGTCGTTTTGATTTTCCAATGACGAGTAAAGGCAATTTATTTGTACCAGTCATATTTGCACATTGAAGAATAGTAATACGTTCCTTACTTTGTTTTCCTCCGTGGCACTTTTCTCCTTGAAAGGCAAATGTTTTGTTTGGTAAACACTTAAAAAACAAACCAGTCTCGTCTGCATTATAAATGTCCTCTGGGTCATATTCTGTTAAAAGATTCGGTAGATCTTTAGTCCACTGATTGCATACACGTACATCCACAGATTTGCTTTCTCCAGATAATGTCTTAAAAACTATATCATGCCGTCTTTTAAAACCCTCAAACCAGCCGTTACTAGCTGAGAAGTCTTGTATTCCTATTTTTGTCGCAAAATCTCTGGCTTTTTCTTTTAATAACGGGCCATCCATGGGAATATTTTTGTCGCGGATTTCTTTTATCCATTCTAACAGACAATTTTCAACGTCAGAAAATTCAATTTTTCGGTTTCTCTTAATGTTTCCATGTCCTTCAGCACATCGACTCTTTATTGAATCTTTTTCTTTTAAGATTTTATAAAAAGTAGACTCCGGCAAATTAAACTCACTCGCTATTTCTTTTCGTGATTTTCCGCGCTCGAATTCATTTATTATTTTAAGTTTATCACTCAGAGAAATCACGTTAATTTTTCGTTTGGGCATTATTAATTCACAAGAGACTCTCACTGCCAAGTTAACTATTCAAAATTCGTTTATTAACTGAAAAGAAAATTGTTTGCATTGTATACACTGGGTGTATATCTACGGTAATGGCTAATTATCTTTATTTTCATTTTAGAAAAGTAAGCAAATGCTATTAGAGACAAAAACAAAAGACATTTTGATAAAATTTTAGGAATATATACAGACAAGTCTCTCTCGCTTATAGAGGTCCGAGAGCGACTTCTCTCACTTATAGAGGTCCGGACGAGCAATGACTCTCGCTTACAGAATCTCACTTATAGAGGTTTTTACATGTAAAAATGAAGGGACCGAGAAATTTCTCTCGCTTATAGAGGTTTCTCGCTTATCCAGTTCTCGCTTATCCAGGTTCGACTGTAATTACAAAAAATTTATTAGCATTTCTAGTGTATACTTTTTTTTATATTTTTTACGTATAAATTTGAATACTAATAGTAATAAGAAAAATGAAATTAGTAAAATTAGTATTACGTAATATAAATTATAATAAAATTTTTAATAAAATGTTTACATGAAATTTGTTCTAATCTAAGTAGTATATCATAATTATTGTTTTATTACAACTTCTATTATGTGAAACTAGTTTTATTCAGACACTTTTACGTAATACTTTATAATGTATATATACTTATATAATTATAATATTACACCGTAATATGTTATTTTATTTCAATTTAGACAAATTATTTGTAGTACCAGCATTGCTACTAAATACTTATTTTATTACAAGTACCACTACGTAATACTAATTATTATATATACCAACTACTACAACGTAATATTTTTTTATTACAACTTATGCTACGTAATAATAATTTTACTAATTTCATTTTTCTTATTATTATTATTTTTATTCAAATTTATACGTAAAATGTGTTTTATTACCAGAAATGCTAACAAATATTTGTTTTACTGCAACTACTACAAACGTAATACTTTTTAAATTAAAATTTCTACATCGTAATACTTTTTCTGTTACAATTAATACTATCTACATAAAACTCATTCTAATCAAACTTTATAATAATTGTTTAATTGTAAGTATTACTTCATAATCCTTATTATATTAAAACATTATCACGTAATACTTTTTTCTACATCGTAATACTTTTTATTACAATTACGTAAAACTTATTCTAATTCAACTACTACTTCATAATAATTGTTTTATTATTACCAATACTACGTAATACTTATTTTATTAAATTGCTGTTACAGAATACTTTTTTACATCGTAATACTATTTCATTACAAATTATATTACGTAAAACTCGTTCTAATCCAACTGCTACTTCATAATAATTGTTTTATTGTAATCATTACTTCATAATCCTTATTTTATTAAAACACTGTTACTGTTCTTATTGTAAGTATTATTTCGTAATCCTTATTTTATTAAAACACTATTACGTAATACTTTTTTATTCCAACTTTGATTTATTGTTTTATTACAAGTATTGCTACTAAATACTTGTTTTATTATAACAAACAATATATAATACTTATTTTATTAAAATTCTCTTACGGAATACTTTTTTTTACATGGTAATACTTTTTTATTACAATTTCTATTAATTGTTTTATTACAGTAAATTGAATAAAACAAGCATTGTTATATCGCAACTAGTGCTACGAAATAATTACTTTATTAGAACATTTTTACGTAATACTTTTTTATTACAATTTATAAAAATTGTTTTGACTCAAATTGTAATACTCTTCAAGTTTAACCTATGCTGCGTAATTCGGTTTTATTTTATATTTGTTTTGATACTCTAGTTTAATATTCAAGTATTGCTCAGTGTAATACTTATTTTATTACAATTTCTACTACGTAATACTTTTTTAAACCATTTACTTTTTCCTGGTAGTTTTTTCATTACAACTACTGATAATTAATATTTTTTTAATAACAAGTTATAAGGGGCCATTCAAGTATTACGTAAGCATATTTTTCAGGTTTTTAGACCCCCCCCCCTCTCCCATGTAAGATTTTTTATATGCATTAGCGCCATTTTTTCTAATGGAAATAAGCAATAGCTAGACCCCCCCCCTCCCCCTTAAATGCTTACGTAATACTTGAATGGTCCCTAATCCTTTTATTACAATACGTAATACTTTTCCGTGTTTTAAATTCGACTACGTAATACTTGATTTACTGCGCAAAAATTACGTTATATTACAACAAATACTACGTAATACTTATTTTATTAAAAATACTTTTTTTATTACAATTCTTACAAAGTAAAACTCGTTATAATCCAACTACTAGTTCATAATACTTGTTTTATTGTTACTATCACTTCGTAATACATGTTTTATTAAAACACTATTACGTAATACTTTTTTATTACAACTTTTATAAATTGTTTTATTTCAAGTATTGCTACTAACTACTTGTTTTACTACAACAAATACTACGTAATACTTATTTTATTAAAATTATGTTACGGAATACTTTTTTTTATCAGAATACTTTATATTACGATTTCTATTAATTGTTTTCTTACAATAAATTAAATAAAACAAGCATTGTTATGTTTTGTTACTATAGTCTAATATTCAAGTATTGCACAACGTAATACTTTTTTTATTACAATTTCTACTACGTATTACTTTTTTAGTCTCTTTACTTTTTCCTAGTAGTTTTTCCATTACAACTAAGTAATATTTGTTTTATTACAAGTACTACTACGTAATAGGTACTCCTTCTATTGCAACACTACTACGTAATACTTTTCCTTGTTTTAAATTCGACTACGTAATACTTGTTTCACTATACAAAAAATACGTTTTATTACAATGTATACTACGTAATACTTATTTTATTCAAACACTATTACGTAATACTATTTTCTACATCTCAATACTTTTTATTACTAATTTACTATTACGTAAAACTTATTCTAATCCAACTACTACTTCATAATAATTGTTTTATTGTTAGTATTACTTCGTAATCCTTATTTTATTGAAACACTATTACGTAATACTTTTATATTCTAACTTTTATATTGTTTTATTTCAAGTATTGCTACTAAATACTTGTTTTACTACAACAAATACTACGTAATACTTATTTTATTAAAACGCTGTTACGGAATACTTTTTTTTCAACGGAAATACTTTTTATTACAATTTCTATTATTTGTTCTCTTACAATAAATTGAATAATACAAGCATTGTTATGTTTTGTTACTATAGTCTAATATTCAAGTATTGCACAACGTAATACTTTTTTTTATTACAATTTCTACTACGTAATACTTTTTTAGTCTCTTTACTTTTTCCTAGTAGTTTTTCCATTACAACTAAGTAATATTTGTTTTATTACAAGTACTACTACGTAATAGGTACTCCTTCTATTGTAACACTACTACGTAATACTTTTCCTTGTTTTAAATTCGATCACGTAATACTTGTCTTACAATACAAAAATTACGTTTTATTTCAAGTTTTGCACTTTTTTTAGAGTATTACTTTTTAGTACGAAATATTATTCGTATAAAATATTATTTGTGGATATTACAAACCAGTAGAAAGTATACGAAATACTCGAAAGATTTGCGAAATATTTTAATTTTATTTACACTTATTAGGGGTTTTTACGCTTACTACGAGTTTTTACCTTTATTACGTTTTTTACGCTTATTACGTCTATTACGCTTCATAGAAAATAAATTCAAAAAGAGATATAAATGTAGAAGTAAATTTCCAGTTGGTCGTCTTTTGATATAAAATGTGGTAAATAAATTATTGCAGAGTAAAAAGTAGTACAAGTCAATTTTCAGTCAGACGGAAAAAGATTTCCGCATGACTGAATGTTGGCGCAAGCTTGATATTATAAAAATTTATCTCAAAAAATAGAGATAATTTTATTCTCAATGAAAAATTGACTAGATTGATTAATATGTATAAATTATAAAAAAAAAAAAACTGTATTGTGATAAAAAAAAAGCTCTACATGGACTAGTAAAGTTGAAATCAAAAACCTCGCGCGCGTCCTTCGGTAGCGCCGTCTGATAACGAAAGTACGAAGTTATGCGGCGCGGGCATATTTTATCCTCCTTTCCTTCCAGAGTGTGCGAGTTTCCTAGAAATCAAAATCAGTTAGGCTTCAGCTGCCGGCTGATATTCATTGAATGTTGGCCCTTCCAGCAGAGCATTTCACTAGATTGTAATTTTGACACACAACAACACACAAACATTAAAGGTTATAAATCTCACTGGAAAATAAAAGATTCATAATCATTAAATGTTGGTTGTTTTTCACATTGATCGCGTCTATCGCGCAAAGTCCTGACATAGAGAGACATTATACGGGAGTGTCGTGAGTGTTTGCCAAACGGAGGTTATAGCAGGGGAAAATTATTTGTGTGATTGAGAGAAGAGAAGAAAAAAAAGGGAAGAAAGGGAAGAAGAGACATGCGGCGCAATGTGAAAATAGTGCTGCTGTTGTCATGCGCCTGGATGTTCGTCTTTGTTTACTACTACCACACGTCTAGAGATCCCAAGGTAAGAGTGCCGGGTGTCAAGTGCACGAGTACATGCGAGAGAGAGAGAGAGAAGGAGAGACTGACAGACAGACGGAGAGAGAATAAATGATTGATTAATTGATGTAATATTTCTTCTTTTTTTACTCTCTCTCTCTCTCTCTATTGTGATTTTTTCTCTTGCTGCATAATACAGCTTTTTATTCAATCAAAATATAGACTAGTACCCCTGGATGTTAATATTTTTATTTTACCTTTAAGATAATATTTCAAGGTTCATGCTTTTTTTGCGAGGGAGAAACAGGTTTTTCAATGTCAATTAAATTGGAGTAGAAACAAGGAATCGTTAACAAGTGTTTGCATGGAAAAATATAAAATCAGAGTAAAAATTGAATTCTGCCCTCAGAGAAAAATGTTTTTTTGAAGCAGAGATAATTTATTTGATTTAAATAAAAAGTTTATTTGTCTTAGAAAATTGAGTCGTTTTTTAGGTTGCACTCAGAAAAATTTTAAGATAATTAATTTGACTCAAGTATATTTGTCTCAGAGTCTATTATAAATTATTTATTTGCTTTGAATAGGAATTTTATTAGACACAAAAATAATTTTTATTTAAACCAAATCAAATTACGAAATTGAAGTCCACAACGTTGATCAACGAAAAAAATTTGTTTCATCCATTCGAATATTATTTTTAATTTAATATTTAATTGGATAACAATTATTATTATCAGAACATAAACATCAATTTATTTTTTCTAAATATTTTTGTGTCAATATTGCTGTGATATATTTTATTAATTTACTAAGTAAACAATTTTTTTGTTGATAAACGTTGTGGACTTCAACGTGGTAATCAAATTCACTGTTAACTTAATAGCAGGCGATGAATTGATACCAAAAATGTGGATAAAATTAAAAATTGATCTATTTTCTTGGTATCAATTTGATCTACTCTAATATCAATTTGATACCTTCAATTTTTTTATGACAAAAGGATTAATTTTGAGCAACAAAAATTCATACGATTTATACGGTCAATTATTTAAAATAATGAAAAAAGTGTATGAAATTTATTCATGAAAAATGATGAAGATAATTAAAGATTTTGAATTTCAAAATAACCAGTAAAATTATTAACAACCGATGAAAAATTGACCACTTTCACTCTTAATATTTTTTTTAATTTCATAACCATATAAAAAATTTTGAAAAAATTAATTTTTTACTGTTTCAACACTTTTTTTGTTTCTGCAAATTTCATTTTCGAAAATTTCTAGTTTTATTAAAAGAAATTATTAACTAATTAATAATAATAATAATAATAATAATAATAATAATAATAATAATAATAATGATAATAATTAATAATTTATTAGTTCAATAAAAAAGTAACATAAATTATTCATGATTTCAAATACACGAAGAGAGAATATATAAATATTAAATTTTGCAAAAACATTTTACAAATTGGGGAAAAAGTGCGACAATGCGAAATTTTAATATAAAAAATGCTAAACTTTAAAAAAAAAGTTATGTGAAATTTTATTAAATTTATATTAGAATATAATTAATATTCTTGATATTTGATATAATTATACTAAAATTCAAATAAGTTTTCATAAATTTTAGTATTTTTTAAATCAAAATTTCGATTTATTACATTTATTTACGAATTTCTTTAATTGTAAAATTATTCGAAAACACCAATAACTTCTTTTTTTAAATAAATATTTCATATTATTATTATTTTTTTTCACAGGAATTAAGATTTTTAAAAATTTCAAATTCAAACCTTCTTGAAATTAAACAACTTGTAATAATTATAAAGATGTTTGAGTGATTAAATCATTATTTTATATTACAAGAATATTGTTACTGTAAACTTTTAAAAAATTAGTTTCATATTCAACTATTATCTAAAATTTTCAACAAAAATTCATTTTTAAATCAATTTTTATTAGAAAATTCTACGAGAATTCAATTATTTAAATAAAAAAGTAAATTATTTATTGAATTATTATTATTTAATTCTTATAAAGAATTTTATTAACAAATTTTTAAATAATTGAATTCCTGTGATATTTTTATTATTTGTAAAAATAATTAAATGTTTGCGCAGAATTTTATTAAAAAATTTTTAAAAATAATTTAATTCTTTTGGTTAATTTTATTAAAATAATATTGAAAATCATTGAAGTAAGGAAAATTTTTGAAAATAATTGAAATTTTGACAAGAATTTTATTAAAATTTTAGAAAATAATTTAATTTTAAAGAAGAATGTTAGAATTTATAAAGATAATTGGGATTTTTAGAAAATTTTTTGTTAAAATTTTGAACATAATAATTGAATTTTGTGATAAGAATTTCATTACTTTTGAAAATAATTGAATTTCTGCAATTATTTGTAACTTCTTCAAAATTCAATTTTTTTAAAATTGTTTTTAACTAAAATTCTTCAATAAATCTTTTGAAATTGAATTAATTTTGAAATATTTAAGTGAAATTATTCATTAAATAATTTATAAGTGATAATAATTTTGTGATAGTTCTTGAAGAATTAAGTTATTTAAAAAAATTATTTATTTATTATAAGTTATTTAAAAAGAAATTATTGTCAGAAATTGAAAAAAATTGAAAATAGAGAAAAATGTTAAATTTATCAATGAAAATTGGAAAACAAGACAAAAAAAAACTTAGTTTTGGAGATGAACTTTCTAATGGAATAAATAAAGACAAGATTAAAATAAAAGATTTGTCTAAAATAAAGCTTTTTAAACTTTTGATGATTTCTGTTTGGAGAATCAAGAAAAGTGCATTTTTGAGCCTTTTCCAATTAATTCATATAAAATTTTGATGAAAAAAAGAAATTTTTTTTCGATTATGATATTACTAGAAAACACAGTGAAGATTTATTGTACAAAAGTTTGAAGCAAATTTGAAGTTAATTTTTAACTCTAAATTCGAATTAGTGACTGCCTTTTTACTATTAAATTATTTTACTACTATTAAATGTAGTATTTTACTACTAATAAATTAGTAGAAATTACTATTTATTAGTAAAATTTACTAATTCAATAGCAAAAAGTCACTTACTATTAATTGAAACTAGAAGACAATTATTAGAAATAAAATAAATTAGTAGAAATTACTTTTTAAAAAAGTAAAAATTACTAATTCGAAAGCAAAAAGTGAGTCACTAATTAAAATTAGTAAAAAATTATGAGAAATAAAATAAATTAGTAGAAAATTACTTTTTAGTAGTAAAAATTGCCAATTCAAAAAATCAAAAGCAAAAAGTCAGTCACTAATTAAAATTAGTAAACATTTTTACTACTTCAAATTTAGAGAGAAAGTTATTAAATAGAGATCAGTGTAGAATCAAAATAAGTAGTCAAGATATCAAAAAAGAAAATAATTATCCATAAAAAAAAGTAAAATAGAAATCTGCAAAAGTAAAAATTAAAAAACCAAAAAGAATTGGAAAATCAATTAAAGAATCTTGTGCCGAAGACACTTTTTGAAAAGCTTCTTCTTTTTTCCCCACTGACAGTCTCAGGACTGAAAAAGGAGGAAAAAGCTTTTGGCACAACTGCCAAGATGTATTCGAGACTTCAAGAAAGGGGTTTGGACGATGTGTCTTTATAGTCTGTGGATTGTTAGTTCCGCATTGCAAGGCATGCTCATTCACGCGCGAAGAGGATTCGGTGACCTTAAATCCTCGGATATCTTTTTGAAGAAAACTGAAACATCCGATTCGAGACGATCAATAGTCAAAGTACCAAACAAAAAAAAAGAAGAGAAGAGAAGAGAAGAGAAAAAAAGAAACATCACGACAGTCTATTGACCTGAATTCAAAATGCTAAACTTTTTTCTATTGCGTCAAGAAATATTTTCCTTTATCAAAAAATTTTTTTATCCCCTTTTCAATGTTCCATTGAATGTACCATTGAATGGGAATTATTTTTTTTTTTTTAAATTCGATGCACAAATAAATATTTTCACGTCTCTATGAACATATCTTATTCAAATGTTTATTGCTTCCATTATTTGGCAATTTTATACTTTTTATTTTATTTCTATTTTACTATCAATTTTACTGAAATTTACTCAATATTTTACTTTTAAATTTATTTTTATTTTTCTTCTATTTTAGATTCAATTTTACTTTCAAATTTATTTCTATTTTACTTTTTAGTTTCAATTTTACTTTCAGTCATGGTCCAACCTTGACTGCATCCTTTTGTTGAAATGTTTGTAACTTTTTTAATTTTTAACTTTTAAATTTTAAATTTTTATTTTATGAATTTTTATTTTATTTTTAACTTTTTTAAATTTTTTATTTTTTAATTTTAGATCAACACAATTTTTCTAGGGATATCAAATTGAGAAAAAAACAAATCAAAACGTTGCTTCGCAACAATTTTGATTCGTTTTTTGTCTCAATTTGATATCCTTAGAAAAACTGTGTAAATAATAATAATTTAGTGAATTACAGACTTCGCACTCGATAATTAATTTTAATAAAGTAGTAATAAATAGGAAAAAAAATAGCTATCGAAAAATTAAATTTGACGACTAAAAAAACTCGTTTTAGACACTTCACACAACTGACAAAAATTTCATTCTATATTTTATTTTCCCGACTTTTTCCTAATTTTCATGAAAAATATTTACTTCTTTCTTATCCTGTTAATAAATTGAATTCCTGCAACGAATTTTATTATTCATGAAAGAATTTAAATATTTATAAAAATAATTTAATTCTTACGAAAAATTTTATAAACATTTTTAAATAATTGATGTCTTTCGACTAATTTTATGCAAATTCTAATTTAAATAATAATTGAATTCCTAATAAATTTTTATTATTCATCAAAACAATTGAATTCTCACGAAGATTTTTACAAAAATTTTTTTAAATAATTGAAGTCTCTTTGAAAATTTTATGAAAATAGTAGATATTGAAAATCATTGAATTGCGAAAAGTTTTTAAAAATAATTAAATTTTACAAAGAATT